CCAGGCATGCCCCCCCCCAGCTCCCCTCAATTTTTCAGCTCTGCCCCACCCCCCAGAAACCAGGTACAAACGCCCTCCCTGCCATGCCAGCGGCAGCCCCCCCCCCTCCCAACTCCAGACACACCAAATGAAACACGGAGCCCTGACGAGATCCCCATATCAGCACTGGCCCCCGCCCCGAATCAGGGACCCCGAGGTGGCAATTAACCAGAGCGAAAGCTGGGTGGTGGAGGAAGGACAGACAGATTAGCGCTGGGTGTGAATCAGAGTGAGGATTAATGGGGGGAGGGGGGTTAGAGCACAGCGGCCGCGGAGAGACCCAAACGACCCAGAGAGACCCGGCCAGAACCTTTCAGAACCTTCCGCTGCCTCCGTTCGGGGGGGGGGACGGGATCTGGGTGCGACCGGGGGGGTCCTGGCATCGTGCCCCGGAATTAAACAAGGTGCAGAGAAGCGACGAGGGGCCCTGGGGGAGCCGGAGCGGCCCCCCGAAGAGGCCAGGCATCAGGGACATTTCAAACTAGAGGGGAGGGTGGGGGTCGAGTTTGGGAGAAGGGGCTGGGTAGGTCCATTTGGCAACACTGCCTGGTAGGCCAGCCAGCACCCAGGGGGAGAACCCAGGAGTCCTGGCTCTGACCCCCCCCTGCTCTGACCACTAGATCCCACTCCCCTTCCAGAGCTGGGGAGAGAACCCAGGAGTCCTGGCTCCCAGCCCCCCTGCTCTGACCACTAGACTCCACTCTCCACCCAGAGGCAGGGAGAGAACCCAGGAGCCCTGGCTCCCAGCCCCCCTGCTCTGACCACTAGACCCCACTCCCCTTCCAGAGGCAGGAAGAGAATCCAGGAGTCCTGGCTCCCAGCCCCCTGCTCTGACCACTAGACCCCATTCCCCTTCCAGAGCGCTGGACAGAACCAAAGCTTGACGCTCAAATTGCTCCATCCACCACTAAAAGCTGCAGGTTGGGGTGAGGCAGGTGCTTAACGGCCATTTGGGACAGGAAGTGATGGGGGAACTGGTGGAGAGCGTGTGGATTTAGGGAGGGGAAAGGGGATGATCCAAGATGGGATTGGGCCCAGCCACCAGGGTTCATGCCCCTAACAGGGGAAAGCTGAGGAATTCACCTGCTAAGCACTTCCAAGTGCATGCGAGGGGGGCACGCAACCAGGAGACCACCCAACAGCACCCAGGAGGTGCTACAGAACACGAGTGAAACCAACCCTGGCCCTCAGTGGGACTGAAACTGGCCAGGAGTGAAACTGACCCTGGCTCCCAGTGGGACTGAAACTCACCAGGAGCGAAACTGACCCTCCCATGCAGAGGGACTGAAACTGACCAGGAGCGAAACTGACCTGGGTACCCAGCGGGACTGAAACTGATCAGGAGCAAAACCAACCCTGGCACTCAGAGTGACTGAAATTGACCAGAAGCGAAACTGACTGGAAAGTTCACCCCCTTTTAAAAGCATCCTTTCCCTGGAGGAGAGAAAAGCCCTTCGAGGCGATGGCGAGCAGTGAGTGGAGTTAGCGCTGATCTAGTCGGGGGTGGGGTTAGTGCAGTGGGGGAGGGGGAAGGCCGGCCCCCGCTCCCCTCAGGGGGAGGGTGTTAGATCCTCCGGGGTCGGCTCTAACCTTGTCGTGCTCCTCTTTGCTCAAGCTAAGAGCAAGCTGGAGCTGCAGGTCCTCTTCAGCGACGGCGACGGGGGGCTGGCGGGGGCGGAGAGAGCAGAGAATGAAGGCGCAGCAGGGCACACACCCACACCGGGGGGGGGGGGGAAGGACAGGAGAGGGGCGAGGCGAGGCTTGGTCCATGGATAGGAAAGCAGACAGGACCAGGTGGGCCCGTGACCCCCCCCCCCAATGTCCCCCTGGGAGCTAGATGCACAAACAAAGGGGGAAATGCAGGGGAGGTGAGAAAGAAAGGGCAGCAGACGGGGAAGGGGCGTGGGGGGGGGGCCCATGGTGCCGGGCCCAGGCAGGCAGGGCAGTGGGTGGGGGGCAGAGGATGGGGGCGCAGGCAGACACGGCAGTGGAGGTGCAGGAAGGGGATGGATGGCTCTATTTTGGGAGAGCCCCTCTAAGCAGACAAGTCGCGGCCTGGTCCAGGGGAGCGAATCGGCTTGTAAGGGGATGGGGAGGAGGCTGAGCTGGGGTGAATGAGGGGGGGCTGTACAGGACCCTGTCTGATGCAGAGAGGATCAGGGGGCCGACCCTCCCCATCTACAGCCCCTGCTGGGTGGGAGTGAACGTAGCTTTGAACAGGCTCTGGTCCTTTGCTCCGCAGCACTGTGGAAGTTTATTGGAGGGCCTGGGGACCGTACCCCCATTGTGTGCAGATGTCTCCCAAGACCTGTGTACCTAAAGCAGCCCAGGATCTCAGATAACCCAGGCCACAAAGAGACACGCCCCAGCTGAGATGCTATGAACAACCCTCCCCACCCAGCCGGCTTTCCCTGGCCCCCACCCCACTGTACCTGCCCTCCCCTGCCCCAACACCTGTGCAGGGGAAGGGCCAGAATTCAGCCCCACCGATACGCTGAGCAAATACAGGCTTGCTCCTCTGTGGGGGACTGGCTGGCTTTGGGGGGCAGGGAACGGGGCATGGGGTCTTTCCCCTCTAGTGGGTGCCAGCCATGATCTGGTCCCAGGGCAGGGAGTGGCTGGCTCAGGTGGACGAGAAATGGGGCACAGGGCCTCTCCCCAATAGGAGATGCCGGTCCCGCTCTGGCAGCACCGAACCAACCCCTGCCATCAGGGAGACGAGCTGGGCTGGTCCCAGCCTTGCACCCAGTGTCAGAGGCAGCCTGGCCACGATCAGGGGCTAACGGGCCTCCCCACCAGGATGGCAGCAGGGAGGCCAAGGGCTGGACGCCACCCTGGGAGCAGACGCCCTCGCGGGGGGACAATCGCAGCCGGTCCCGGCCCGACCAACGCCCCGTGGAGCCGCCACGGGGGCCCCATCTCGATCGGCGTCTCAGCCCCAGCCGCGCCAACCCCCCTCCCCCCCGTGCCCCGCAGCCGCCGCTCCAGATTTACCTTGCTCCTTACCTGCTCCGCTTCTTCCTTGCTCATGGCCAGCGCCAGCTGCAGCTGCAGCTCCTCCTCGCCGCTGCTCTGCGGCCAGGCCTGCTCCGCCTCTGCCGGGGCACTAGCGGCTGAGGCCGAGGAGGCTGTGGGGGAGAAAGGGTTAAACTGTTAGCCAAGGGCTCAGA